ATTCCGGAGTCGATCGTGAGTAGCTCTGTAATAAATGTTTTTCAACTGCTCAGCCTTAAACTAGAATTTATTTTCTATCGCTGTGGCACAGAACCCATGGCTTGGGTGCATGTCAGAGGTAAACGTGGCCCTTATGGCCCGGTTGTTCGGTATCTCGACAATGGACTCAAGATTTTGTTCAAATCAACAGGAATTTCTTAACTCTAACATAGAGCCCTGACTACGATTCCCCCTCCGAGCGCTATAGCATGTATGAAAGTTAATAGAAGGTGCTTTTCAACGGACAGAGTAAACAGAAGACTGTCAATCTAAGTGAGTGAAACGGAAATTCGAGACCAAAATGACGAAGTGGGACTCCCAAGTAACTGCGTTTGGTGCAACCAACTCTTGTTCATTTTGCGATAAGTCATTAACGATGACATAAAATGATGGTTTAGTGAGTGCCGAAAAGAAGTATTAATCTAGTTCTCGAAGGTAAGTTGTAAACAACTGGATCTAAAGTGATTTACTCAACTGTTTCCTGGCAGAACTTGAAGACAGTGGCATGCCCTTTTTGGTATTCACCCTTTTTCTTCCTATTTAACTCTCCTAGGTAATTTTATGCTCACCAGTCTGTGATGTTTTAATGCTCTTCTCAAATTTTTCTTGCCCCTTTTTTTGCAACGAATAGGCAGTAAAAGTTGGGATCGCATAGAGTTTTTAACTTTTCAGTCAAATCCATTATTTACTAGCCACTTTTGTTGTTGGTTTTATTGAGAACGGATCAATTCCCTATAATTAGAATCTATCAGAATTTAGGAATTTTTAGCCTACTGAAATAGGACTTTTCAGTAGTACATATTCACCAGCTTCCACCTAACTTACAGCAGAGACGTGAAAAGCACCAAAATGTGGGTGCGCTTTTGAACTCAAAAAGTAACATACATTCAGACAAAAATAAGTTCATAAATATCAGGAGGCGGACGTGAATAAGAAGACTAAAATAAAGCCGCATCGACTTCACCTACTTTGAAAATAAATTTATTTTTAGTTGCGCCTTTCCAGACGTACATCTAAGTGCACCAACTACATACTTCTTAAAGCCGCAGACAATTAAATTCTTCGGCATTGTACAAACATGGCAACCTTGTTTCATGTAACTTGATACTGATTCCAGGGTATTTTCCATTTTTAATGATCATTTTTCCCAGTTTTTATAAACAGGAAGTTTGTAAAACCTCTGTTGCGACGTGACTATTTTATTGTTGAATTACTCACCACAGGGTGTGAGTAACACCAAAATCGCACCTCTTAAACTCGGTTTCTCTGACAAGACCCAGGATTTTGCAGCCTTGTTGTTAGAAAGCAAACCGGAGCGGATTCCATCCATGTGGTTACCTCAACTGAAATTTCGTGCTGAGGGGCCAACAGAGGGTAAAGTATAACAGAAAGCACAGCAAAGGGTAGCGCAGGATTTTTGCATATTTGCCGTCTTAAAGACGTCGGATTTAAATGGTAGCCTTTTTATTGCCAAAAAAATTCCTGATCCACAGTTGCACAGGCGTGTCGAATTTTTACTACGCAAGCCGTACTAGCAAAAAAATGCAAAAAATAAATAGCCTAAGCAAATTATTTTCACTGCATTTGGACAGAATTTTGTTGCTTGCTTTAGGGTCATTTTATCACCACTTCTGTTACCAGAGTCTCAAAGGAAATTTAACAATTAGTGTGCACAGAAGTCGAGGGTCTTCTTAAAGTTATGCTGCTAAAGGACTAAACAGGATCCTCTTATCTCTTGAGTAGGTCGGAAGGTTAAAAAAATCCTTCCAGCCCCACAATTTTTTCATAATTAGTAATGACAAAATGGTAAAGACGCGTGTCACGCATATGTGACGCTGGCAGGAAACATGGTAACCTCAACCTCTTAATATCTGCCCTTTCAAAAAACAAAATTGGACTTCTAAATTCTTGTCTAAAGTAGCAAAATATACCAGGAAGTTCTTAATTTTTAAACTATTTAGGCAAAATAGGAGTTAATGAAATGATGCTATTTTTTCCGCCTTTCCTGAGATCTCTGGACCATAGCTGTAGATCCAAGGACAAAGCGCATCCACTTCCCCTTGTGATGGGGAAAGGTCAATGTGATATTTTAGCATTTAGTAAAAGTTTTGTCTTTACCCAGAGATTGCTTAGTCTACTTACGTCCCCTGGATTTTCTGGTTCTATTTTTGAATTAATGTCTCATTTTTTGTAGATACGAGGGTATAAAAAGTGGCATCTTGAAAAATGAAGTTAATCATGCCAGTCAAATTACGCATTTTTATCAATCCCAGGTATTATTTTTCCTTCGACAAAAAAAACTGGCAAGGACAATAGATTGTAAAATAGTATTAACATAATGTTTAGTCGCCTTAAAAGCATTTCCTGTGGACAATCCTTGGTCCCATTTCTTCGTACTCCCCCTTCGTGATAATCATCTCTCTGAAAGCATTCAGCGATCCGAGGATAGAGGCACCAATCCAGGCTGCATAATTTCTCTTCTCTAAACCATTCACCTTGACTTTGACATTCTTGGCGGCCAGATGATTTACCTCATTTTGAAGACGCTCAATTAGTCCTTCAAACATTGTGCTACCGCCAGAGAGAACAACGTTTTTGTACATCGTCCGCCGTAAATCAATCTCACAGCCTTCAATAACGTGGTGGAGAGCTTCATGAATACCGTAAATTTCTCGACCAATCAACTGTGGGCTGAAGAGTATTTCAGGACTCTGGAACCTCTCAGTTGACACATGAATCAACTGTCCGTCGGGCATTTCATAGTGTTTTTCCATACTTGGATCGACCTGAGCTCGTTTGAACTCTTCCTCCGGATCCACAGCCACATAACACAGGTGTTCCTTGATGTCGCGAACAACTTCCAGCTCGGCTGAAGACACCATACTGTATCCCCGCTTGAGGAGAAGTTTATTCAAGTAATCTGTAATATCACGACCGGCGAAATTCAGACGAAGGATTAGGTGGTTTAGTCCATGACCTTCAAAAATGGGAACTATGTGAGTGGCTCCATCACCAATATCCAAAACAGCTCCGGTCGTTTTTCCTGAAGAATACAGCGACATGACTGCTTGAATGGCTATGTAAAGTCCAGGGATATTGAACCTTTCGAACATCATTTCACACATCCTCTCACGATTGCTCTTTGGATTACGCGGAGCTTCCGTTAACAAGCAGGCCTGGTCTTCGGGATGTACTCGGAGCTCATTGTAAAATGTATGATACCAGATTCTCTCAATGTCGTCCCAGTTTTTAATCACACCATTTTCGACAGGATACTGAAGTGTCAGAACACCTCGCATTTGTTGGGCCGCATGACCAACAAAGTATTCCGGCTTTCTCACTCCAACCATCATCTGAGGATTTTTTGGTCTTCCAATAATGGAAGGGAAGACGCTGATGGGGCCGTCTTCACCTGCGAAACCGGCTTTACAGAGACCGGAGCCCACATCGATCACCACTGCTGGTGTGCTAGTCATCCTGCTCTGTCAGTTAAGCGCTAGTCTCCACACACGATTTGATGCACAGCACTTATAGAGGATTGCCTAAGACGAGCACTGCACCGGTGACGCCTAATTAGATCAACGCCATTCATTTCACTCCACGTGTATGTATGCGTGCTCAAGGGAGGATCTCTGCATCGATCTAGAGAGACGCCTTGTTAGGCGATAAGCAGTCCTTTGGCACAACACCAAGAATGTGGGTGTGTTTAAATCTCTTTATGAAACAATCGGGGTGATACCTCACAAGCATAATCCCCATCAGGCTTGTTGAATGCAAGGGAATGAGTGCTGGAAACCACTGTTATAATCAGTCCCGGTAATGCCTTTTACGGCATTTTTGAAAAAAAAGATATGCCGCTTTAACCAAGAAGAGCTTCATGGTAAATTCAACCGCAGACTGCTTGTCTATTCGACTGTCTGCGTGTCTAGACGCCCAAGTGATTTGTTTCCGTAGGCCCCAAAACCCCACCCCACTCAGTGAGAGAATGACGCACTGTATAGATTTGATTAATAATAACTCGAAAAGTTGACAGAAATACCAGCGCATTCCGAGAGAGAAACCAAGTGAGGCTAGGATGTATTCCTACGCATGTAGGTTACTTTGCATTTGTTTAAGTGAATATAAATACAGCATTATTATTTCATTCCTTAATCGAGGCAAATACATCAACAAGACTAAAATTTTTAAGATAAATTCCTAAAATAGGCTAAGCATGAAATGACTTGCCTGCAGTGAAAAGAGGTCATTTTATGCCCCATAATTTTTATATTATCATTTTAAAGCACAATTTTTTAAAACCACCAAAAACGTGATGTTTTTACTGTTTTAAAAATTAATAGATGTACCATATTACAAGCAAATATCTTGGTCATTTGTTCTCTGCCAATTTAACACCTAAATTTCATAGGAATTTGAGAACGACTATATTCTAATAAAATCAAGCACGAATTCTGACAGATATGCCATATAAAAGTCCATATTTTTAGTAAGTATAAGATACCACTTAAAAATAAACAGGCTACAATTCGCTAATTCTTTAGTGCAGTGACCTCCCTAATCTTTAAATTAAATGATTGACGGCACTAGGTAATCAGAGGAATGAACAAATTGGCATTAGGATGCATCGTGCTTACACATGTTTGAATAAATGCATAAAGTAGTTTACCATTTGTTGCGTAGATCCATACCATACAACACTCAAATACGGCGGTAAGTTTGAAAACTGTGAACTGAAGGAGCGCCGTAGAGGCGCGTTCAATAACTCTTGATACAATATATTACAATAGCCAATTAAAGGGATGCAGACGTTGTTGGTAGATGCATTACGGAATGATGTCGCAAGAACTATTTGATGGAATTTTACCGCGTTACTCGAATTTTCCACTGAGCTGATGCAATTAGCACAAAGTTGGTGTATGTTTGAAGATGCAATTAAGAGTTATTAGTAAATGAGGTTTATCTGATCATAAAACAAACGCAAATTGATAGCTAATATAATCAAATTTGAGTGCATTTAACCTGGCTTGAGCGGAATCTATTTATCAATCATACATAGTTTCCTGGTAATATAGGCGCTTAAACGATCTTCCAGAACGATTTCCTTTTAAAGTAGTTGTTTTTTTCTAGATAAAGAAGTCCTTTTAGACATAACTTTAGCCAAGGCATAAGTTCAATTTACATAAATCAGTTTTCTGTTGGATGTTATATTAATGCAAAACAATTCACAGTGGGAGTTATATCCAGACAATTATTATGCGAAATTCGGTATCAGTAATGTTAAATTTGTTAGCATTATAAGCTTATTAGTGCATCCAGCACCATTTTAAGTGTGTCATTAAGAAAATTGTTTTTATTTGTTTTTTTTTTCATTTACGAGACAAGTTGAAGAATGTAACAAGACAATGGCCACCTCCCATGCATGTATGTGCGGAAAGAGAAGTGAGTAGTGTATTAATAAACCGAGACGAAAGGAAGAAAACAGCTCCTTGTTGTAGACATTTTTAGGGAACTTATGCTTCGTTTTTTGTTCAATAGGCTGCTTCTTATAATCACTACAAATGACAAGAGGAATGTCTGGTGCCCCAGTTCACCTCTAGAGCAATAATTAGAAACACTAGTGAGGGAGGGGGAAAACTGCATAGCTAAAGGCATTAATAAAATGCGGTCACACTAATACTTTAAACAAACTATTAAGAATGTGGTTTCCATCTTTTGAGCTCTACTTCCAGCTCTATCGCAGAGAAGATGCCATTTACTTCATAAGCTGCTGTACTTGAGACTCTCAAATATTGCATTAACTGCAGGAAAGACTATGAAGGGTGGGAAACCTCTAGGAAAAGTAGTGCTATAAATTAGAGAACGTTCTGTTGCGAGCATACTTTGTGCGTTTATCGCATTTTGTAAGAAAAGTACAAACTGCCACGTTTACTGCAAAACCAATAACGGGTAAATCGGAACCTGACATGTTCCTTATCGGCGGATATTTAGAAGTCTAAATTGAGATTGCTGCCAACACTCAACTTGATTTAAACAGGCCTTCTGCTGTGACTTATCACAACTAGCATCATCATAGCCATTGTTCGTTTTTATCGGGTGTGTCACCTATTACTGCCAGTTTGGACCTTTGAGTACTTTCTTAAAACGCGAAAAACATCTGTAGGGAATAAGATTTGCTTCTAGCGTGCAGAAATTATGAGAAATTACAGTTATGATTAAGCTCCCATGACGACTAGCCTGCAATCGAACCGCGTAGTTATGCGTACGATTAAAGCCTATAATTATACCAAATTTTTCATTTCACTCCAGCTAAAGTACTTACTCATAAATATTTATTTAGCCGTTATCGGCGGAATTGGATTTGAACAGCTCTTGGTTACATGTATGGATTGAGTAGTGACAGGCGTCTAGCCAATTTTTGGATGTTGACCCGGATCACTTTTCCCCCGTTATAAAAGATGAGGCACTCAAAAAAACACAATTCTACCTCACTCCCAATTTTAAGTTAAATATTAATAAGGACACATCCTTTTATTCAACTTGCGTAGAAGTGTCTAATTTTCATGTTCACTAAGTGGAAAAATGTCAAATTCACACTGTGGAAGGGCCATTTAAAAACGACTTCCTTTCTAGAGATGGTAAATCAAGCGTGAGTTGACTGTTTTGCAACAAAAAAGCAAAGGAAGTAGGCTTGTACTTTACTAAGAGAATGGGATAGCAATGTTTAGCTACACACACTAGTGAACATGCATGTTCCATTCTTCCACCTTCTATTTGGCCAGTGCATTGTTGATCAGGTAGTCTCCAAACCATGACATGGTAGCATTATTCAGCTCGGGATACAAGTCAATGGGGAATACGAAGAAGAGGAGTCTGCAATGAAATAGCGACAGGTTTTAATTTGTCGAACTTGAACTTACGACAAATAATCCAAAGACAGTAAAAGTCTCTGTCTAGTGTATCCTCTAGGCAAATGATATTAGGGGGAAGTGACTGGGGTAGCCAGAGTAGCCTCGCTGCAAAGCATTGCCAGTTTTCAGCCCTATTTTGAATTTTTATCTTTTCATAGAACAACTTGGTATTTGAAAAGACCAGTCACATGCAAGATATTTGCCAATACTAACCAAACAACCATCATTCTTGTTATTCTACAAATCGACTGGATCTTCTCTATCGAATGAACCCGATGGACCACAGTCCAGTGAAGGACCTTTTACGTTTGAAGTGGAAGAGAAATCATGGGAAGCACTAAGTAGCAAAAGTAGTAAAATTGCCCTTTTTGAAAACTCTATATCCCTCTAGTCACTTTGGATTATACTTACTATCCCAGAATCCCTAAACTCCCCTCCAGGTTATGCTTTAACTAAAAGCTGAGGTGTTACAACTAAACTTTTCGTATTTGTCTAATCTATTGGCCAAGTAATTGGAGAAAACTATCCAAATGAAGGCAATTTAGAGTGAAAATTTTGACTTAATTTTAAGGTGAGTGATTATGGTTGCCGATTCGATGGAAAAGGATTTTCCCGCATGGCCGATTAGGGAAAAGACTGGTGGCATATGAGCCATGAAGGCTTTCATCCGACTGCAATTTTTTCATTACGCCTCATGGTTCTTCTTTTCCTTTTTACTACCTTTTTGGGGGCATGATTATTATAACTTATGCAAATATTAGCAGTTCTTTATAGTCGTGTGGCATAAGCTACCCTTATGATCTACGGATTTGGACGTAGAGGTGCAAGTTCCCCACCACATCAGATCGAAGCTACTCCAAAGGGGTTGAAAGAATAGAAAACTAATTAAATTGACGCAAAAAATATTTTTAAAAGTTTACTTTTTTATCGGGGCATTAAATACAAGACTGTTGGAATCCTAGATACTTGAGTCTTCTCTAAATTATTAATAGATCGCATTACTGTGGAAGAGGGGTTGGGAGAGGTTATTGGGACAGGCTTTCGCTCACATTGCCACTAGAGTGGAATCGCAAATCACAGAAAAACAGATTTGGTCTCTTAATTTCTGTCCTATAAACTTGCAATTTGAGCTGTCACGCATTCTGGTGCCGATAAAAATGTCAGAGACAAGCTAGACTTACATGTAAATGTAAATGCTTTTATTTTGTTTGAAACGTCCTTTAAGAACATGAAAATTTTTGCTACTTCCTTTGCATTTAAAAGCCGAAATCATTCTGGCTGTCAATTTGTTGATTTAATACATTTTAGTTGGCTTGGAACTCTAAGCTTAGCTTCTCCGGAAAGGTAGTGCCTTCCGGTCCTTAAATTTGCTTCTAAAAATAGTTGAGTCTAAAAAAATTGAGTAAATTTTAGCAAAGAAACTCTTTTATTCCAGCACCAAAAAGTTAACTCTCCTTCTTCTCTTCTTTTACCTTACCCTCATCAAGGAATTTAATGTTTTACCTGTGTGCTTGTAAATTCGAGACCACTTACTAGACCTCCACACAGAATGTCATGCCAAACCTACCGAATTGCTTACTACATAGTATTTGTGGAAGTGAAGAAAAAAGTTGTTTTAGACAAGCCAGTCGGATAATAATACGGTTCGGATGGGGAAACTTATTTGGACTCCCGTTAACGCCCAGACACCGGGCTCATGCCGTGCCTCAAGACTTCTCTGTAGGTGAAAGAAGGCATACTATTCGAGTAGAGGGTCCTGGGAGCTACTGACATGGCCCAAACATCTAGCGGAGCAGAGAGTTAGATAAACAATCGAGGCATTGTAATAGACTATTAGACTTTTTAAAAAAAGATACCCTTAAAACTCAAGACACCATGAAGCATAATATCTAGGCAGAATACGTATTGTCAACCTACAGTGGGACCTGGGGCTACCGGCATGGTCTAAAGGTCAAGCTGTTAAGAGGAAGTACAATTGCAAGGCCCTAACTGCCCTCGTAACCAAAACGCGCGCGTTTGACAGTTTGACCTTTTTTACTTCTTAAATCGGCAAAGATAACATTAATAAGAAATAAAGAGTTCGTTTTTAATCACTGATAAAGTGGAAATAAATATCTTAAAAAAAATCTTATTAGTTAAAAGTGGCAATCTTTTGCCAACGAGACACAAGCCTGATGCTAATTCCAATTTAATGAAATGCGCTTAGCCTCTAAAAGCATGAGAAATGCCGCTCTTTCACCACATTCATCTCATCCTTACTCTTCTTTCATCTTCCATGTCCCACAAATTTTCACCCCGCTCTGTGCGTAACTATTTAGGGACACAACGAAGTCAAGTTATTGGCAAGATGGAGAATGAGGATGAGGAGAATAGGGAGAGAGGATAAGGGTGTGGATGTGGGTAAGACAGAATTTTGCTTCCTCACCAATTCCAAAGTACAGACCTTCTCACAGATGAGTTCACCGACGGGTTGGTGCCACAAGAATGGCACTGCACTTCTTTTCCACTGGTTTGAATGAGTGTCTAGTCCAGATGTAATCTCGTTCCAATGGATTCTTTACTAAGAACATTGCAGTTCTCCCGTGTTATATCGAGATCGCCGGGATTGATGGTAGTCGTAATTGGTTCACCATCGCCAGATGAACGAGTGTAGACGCAGCCTTTCTCGCTTGGAGACATACGTAGGCACACACAGGCAGTATGCGTGGTGTTCTGCGGATGAAGCGACCTGTGTGCTAGAAGTGTGGAGTGGATGATGCTTCTTGTGAGTAAACTGTCTTTAAATAGCCAACAAAAGTGCTCATGCCATGACTCTCTGAGTCAGCGCTTTTTAATTGACTTAAAGAGAGTGAAGAGACCCTAACTGATTGTTCCTGATGCTTAATACCTAGCATCTGCTAGTGTATACCAACGAAAACCATTTGCGTGGCCCATACAACATCTCCTTTTCAACTGATTTCGATGTACACGAATATGACTGCAAATTTCCTTCATTTATTCGGACTTGTCACAGATTAATCCACATGTTCAGGGCTATAAACGCTTCTTGTAGGTGATACCTCACACTCTGCAATCGCCCACCACCCATTCTATAAATACTCTACCTCAAATGCGACGAGACGCTTCTGCAACTTTTCCGACAGAGTAGGAGTTTGATCTGCAGAATAGACAATCTTCAATGACATCCTTTAAAATCAAACCACATTATATAACGTGAAGATTAATTCAAAATAAGAGAAGGATGACTAAGAACACCCTAAAGTGATGTGGCGCATATCCCACCTTTGTCCTTACACGTTACACCAAACCTGAACTGCAGGAACCTTTCCAGTCGTCTGATATTTGACCTCCCCATGTCAGCCAGCTAGTTCTTTTTCTAGGAAGGGAGGGAGGTAAGGGAAATAGTTTGACAATTTCTTAAAGATATTCTTCTTTCTACTCTTAAGGTCACATTATTTGTCAGTCACTAGCATTCCACAGATCCGTCTAGTTTGAATGTTTCATCTGCCTTGGAAAGGGTCACTTAAATGGCAACTTTTGGCTTCGACAAACATACAGAAGGCAGACAAACAGTGCCTCAGATTTCTTCTGAGATATGCAAATGTTTTCGCATTTACGTAAATAAGCACAAAACATAGCTTGAAAATTGCGCAATAACTTGTTCATCCATTTTTCAAGTCTGGGCAAACGGTGGCGTGAGATTTTCCTAGGCGACTGCTCTGTCTAAGCCCCCTACGTAGCTTTTATTTATTTATACTGCATTTGGTAAACAGTTGGACAAATAAACTAATAAAATTTAAGTTACTTATATCAAATTTTAAGAAATAATTTGATTGGATGATTCTGGTTCCGCTGGAGCTTGGGTATGTTTATTATTCAAGCCCAGTCCCGACAGAGACCAACATCCTTAAAGGGACTGAGTCGCTGCAATTGTCGAGTTTAATGGCATCTATCTTTGGCAGTATTGCTCCCAGCCTTCGGTTAAGTGACATACAGCTCTATCAGTTTTAAATTATGCCCAAGTAGTCAGGTAGACGTCAGCAGTCAACTCCCAGGTGACGTTAATAATGCAAAGAGGGCAGCTTGTTCTCAGCTAAGGCACAAATTAAGTTCAGGCTTGGAACCAAATGGATGGACCTATTTTAAGTAGGGAAGATGCATCATTGGAATGACCTTTCATTAATTGGAATGCATTCATCAACCTCAGTAGCCTTAGAATTAATTTGATCCCGGTTCGTAAAAAATAGAATTTTGAATAGCATCCACTTGGGTAGATCGACAGACACGTTAACACTTTGAGAGCGAGTTGAAGGGTAGAGGTAAATAGCGCCTTTCCAAATCACTTCTGAATGGTACGTTTAGCTGCCGCAATTCGTCAGGAGGCCTATGTATATTTCAAACTGCAAAATAGACTAACTCAAGACACAGTCTTCAGATAAATCGTCAGGACTCGAAGTAGGAGGAAGGCCAACTGTTCGTGCTGAAGGAAGTGGTTGATGGTTGGGTTTTAGACGCCTCACTTTTGTCTGAGGTTCACGGTATTCCTTTAATTCATGAATCCTAACTCGTCCCTTGGGAAGGATCAAGCACTCTCCCTCTAGGACCTCTACAGACAGTGATAGCCGAACCGTAAAGGTTGATCGGTCTCAAGCCGAAAACGGCGTAATCTTATTTGACCACCTCATAAAAAATTTCCTCTTATTCGTCACAATATGTACTTGGGTCTACTTTAAAGCAAAAGTGTTGCTTGCGTCTGTTTTGATGAATTGGAACAAAAAGGAAGGTGAGTATCTCACCAGCAGGATGAATCAAAGCTAGTGTGGTAATTGTTTCCCCATTGATGACTTCGGAAAGTTGTGCCTTAAAGCCAAGAGAAGGCAATTAAAAGGGTTTCTCTCCCACCCACCAAGAGATGACAACTGACAGAAATGATAACGCTACTAACAGCTTGGCGTGTTGTTTGAATAGTTTACCAACCGACTGTTAAAATTGGGATGAGAAATGGCTTGTGTGCTTTAGGTGGCTGTTCGAAGACGTTTTACCTACCACCTAGCACTTCAGCCAGAGAAGACCATGATCTGTGGTTAAAAATGCAAGGTGGAAAGGTCGGTCTATCAGTGGATAAATGGGTGGGTGAGTAGGAAGTTAGGTATTCCTTGCTTGGACAGCATTAATTTATTCACTCGTTTCACACCGTCTACAAAATTACCAAAAAAGTTAGTGCAAGTTGGAGGGTAACTTCCTCCATTGACCTTTTGTAACCCGTGGAAGCAACTTGTCCAAGGTATGTGATAGTTTATAGGCATAATTTATAAAGCGTAGAAAGAGATACGCAATACCTCAAAGTCAAACAGGATATTGCGTACTAGATATAATTTGAGGTGACTAATAATGACTTCTTCAGAAAGAAAGAACCCGTCTACAATGAAAGAAAAAGCATAGTGCTTACAAATGTCCTATTATTGCAAAATTTGCCCGTGAATTGACCCCATACTGCATTTTATAATAGGGAGAAGATAGGAAGATGGAAGGGTAGTGCCTCATCTCAACAGGTAGACAACAAAGCACAGGGCTTCTTTTCAATGTTTTGAAGATTTCTTGGACTATATAGATCTCCTCTCTTCTTAGACGCAGACTAACAGGCATCACCAATAGGAGGCCCCTTAGGTTGATAAGGTCTCTGCATATTTTTTGCTGCGTTAGGTGTAGTGCCTTCCTCCTGATCTGAATCACAGACTCGAATCCCTACACCAAAACTGGGCAATAATCCATTGTTTAGGAAGAAAAAAGGGCTTGTTTTCTTTCTCTCACACCACTAGGCCCTAATGGGACTTAATAAAGTCTTGAAGAGCATCTTATTATGTAGAAGTGACAGAATTTCAATTTTAATCATCTTAATTGATAAGCTTTGTTGAAAAACTTAAACGCCATAGCAACGAGATTAATTGTCAGATGTAGTAAATGCCTAGACTGCGCTCCTTTTAAAGATATAAAAAAGTATTTGTTAGCTCTCTTTCCTCGGAGGTCTTGCTTTAATTGCCACACTGTCAGTCTACAAAATTGTCTATTAGCCGCGCAAAAAGGCCTCAGACGTGGTCAAAGGTGGCCCTCTACTTCGTATGGTGTCTCAGAGAGTAGTTTTTTTGTAGAATCATAAAAAGTGGACAAATTTTTTGTGTAATTTACTGACTTATATCCATCAGGGGCAGTGTGACCTATGTTGGCCCATTTTTGGCATTTAACTTGATCGCTGTCAAATCGAAGCTTGTCAAATCAACAGTACAATCAAATATTCCTCTGAGATTTTTAGTTTTTAGTGCAATGTCTATCAAACAAGACATTAAAATCGGCCTATCTAAAATTGTGTTTTGATTTCTTTTGAAAAGACTGCGATTACATGTTGATTAACGTGAAGGCTAGAGGCGTAATAATTCTTATGCCAAGTAACTTGGTAGTTGCCAGATGTGTTCAGGGCGAACCGGGACCTTTGATTATACAGATGGCAGAATTACAACCGGTAGTGCCATAGGTGTCTTACACGTGTTAAAGCAGTCCAATGCGGCCGATGAAGATGCAAAACTTGCACTGTTTATGCAGAAGAATGTAAGCACATTACAGCACATCACGGTAATGGGACAGTACTTCTGCTGCACAAATTGTTGTGCGTCAAAATAATGAAAAAATAAAATCAACACCATGTAATTTTACCCATAAAATTGAAACTCGCTTAACCTCCAATTCTTCTTCCTTTCTGCCTCTTAAAAGTGCACCTTCTCCCTCAAACCCGCATTTATTCAAATTGCGCAGTTCTGCTACAAAATCAGAACTGGACGATCTAGAAGATACCTTTTACTGGACGGGATGCATAAGCGTGCACAAGCCTGGACCCCTATTCATTTTAAATCTGTCCCTAATCATAGGCTTTATTCCTTATTTATCATCACTCATGGAAGGGAGAGTAATTATTATCGTTTTGAGCAATAAATACTGTCAATGTGGGTATGATGGACTTCGTTTATCCATTCTGATGAGGTATGGTAGAGATTCGCAGATTTCCACTTCACTGACAGTAGTGCAGGTCTTACAATGGTCGGGATCTAGCCACCTAAACGGAATGGCCGCCTAGAAACTTGATGATACACTTTTCTTTATAAATGTATGCGTTTTGCCGCCTTTAGAGGTAGGTAGCAGCAGCTAATAATGAAGGGAGACCAGATTTGAATGACGTGGAAATGTCGAGAGAGGAACCATTAATAAATCATCTGGGGCAGGATGGAATTATGAAGATCCCGGTGACCAAGTGGCACATCTTACGCCTCAGGTAGCTAAGACCAAGTGGACCACATTGAGGCACCTACAGAATAGTAGGGAAGCATAAATGGCAAATATGGCTTCATTGAGCTACCTTTTATACTTCCACGAATAGAGCATTGGCCGGTCTTGCCCAAAAGCGATGGAGGCACCGATGTCCATCCATAACAGTGAAATTAACTTTCCTCCCGTCTTGATGGAAAATTAATGCAGGCTCTCCTTTTACGTTTAGTGGATGGTTTTTTGTAAAGCACCGACTACCTCGTACTGACTGAAATAGAAGAATTGTAACTGGAGATGCCGAGGACGGAGCTTTGATTTTGATCAGAAATTGAACCCTTTGCAAGTTTTGGTTTCTTGGTTCTTAGATATCATGCTTTCTGGGCACATAATCTTTCAGTCTTCCTCTTTAATTACAAGATGACTGGAGAGCTGCAGTTTCATATGGAACGAATATATTTGTGTATTCGTATTGAATCAGGGCCTGTATTTAACCACATACCTCAGTTATTCTATAAACACAGACAAGGTAGAAGGCTGGACCAACTCGGGTAGAAGCTCTACCGCGGCTATTCTGTATCGTGCCTCCAAAGCGGATGCCCTGTGTCAAGGTGCGAAACGGGCTCTTTCTGAGATTAGTAATTGACCAACCAGAGGCTAAAAATCCAATTTCATATTGCCTACATGGATGCGGAACGCCTACCCATGTGGTCCACTAAGGTAGAAAAAGATTAGTCTAAGGAGTACGCACTTTTAGCAGTCGTTAATGTGGGTAAAAAGCATCGGTTTTATCATTTGAGCTGGACACCAGTAGCAGAAGCATCCAATCGGTAACGGTGGAGCTTAACATTCCTCGTTTTCTGTGTAGATGTCG